CCGCGTGGTGACCTCACGTACGCGTCAGATGCGCCGTTCGATGGCTGCTGTATCTGAAATGGGACACAGGAAGGGCACAGAACGGCGCAAAACGGCGTAAAACGGCTCAAAACGGCAGTGCACTCAGCTAAGCGCCGTTAAGCGCGCTTATCACGATGCGGTCTCTGAAATGAGACACAGCCCAAGTGTCCTCCACGAACCTTCCAACCTGGTGAAGTCTGAAAACAGCGACCTCTAGATGCATTTCCAGTAAATCAAATGTAAACGAAGTGGCCTTTAAGATGTCTTAAAAGGTAAGTGCCTGATGGGTGTCGTCTTTGTGGATAACAAAAAACAACGAGCTCCTTTGTGCCTTTCAGTGTATAAAAGATAAATAAAGATTTCCAAAAAGACTGTCAGATAACCTGACACCTGCAGAAACACCAACACCTTATTTATTATTTATTTAATTATGGCATATGGATTCATATAATAAACTAAAGCTCAATGTCAATCACAGCTATTTACAGCTGCATAGATGGGTTTATCACTGCGGTCACGCTATCCACACTTCTCGTAGAGACAGTCGCACTATCTGCACTTCAAAATCTGCTGCGCCTTTGCTGGAAGCCATACGGTAGCTCTTTAGTGGTGCGTTCAAGGGAGTAGGAAAATGACAATTTCTGGACTCCGAAGTCAAGTGGCTTTGTGATCATTTCCAATATGTTTTACTGTATAAACGAATGTTATTAATAAACAATAAACATAATAGAAATACTAATGCCTCGTTTGTTCGTTTACATTCACTAATTAAAAAGAAAACAATAATCAGTACAAATTATTGCACATATTATACATTCTCCATTCACTATGATGCACTTATGGAAAAATTAATAAAAAAATAAAATCGAATTGTTTGGAGGAAAATGCAAATATTCCTCATGGGCCCAAGTACCTCCATGAATATTTACAAGAGGTTTTACTGTACCAATATTGAATAAAAGATAGTGAAATTGCTACATATTCTTCATTCACAATAATGCAATTATAGAAACATTTATTTTAAAAAATCTTATTGTTTTTAACAATCACTTACATGCAAATAGTCCTCATGGGCCCCAGTACCTCCATGAATATTTACAAGAGGTTTTACTGTACCAATATTAAATAAAAGATAGTGAAATTGCTACATATTCTTCATTCACAATAATGCAATTATGGAAAAATTTATTTTAAAAAATCTTATTGTTTTTAACAATCACTTACATGCAAATATTCCTCATGGCTCCCAGTACTTCCATGAATATTTACAAGAGGTTTTACTGTACCAATATTGAATAAACAATAGTGAAATTGCTACATATTCTTCATTCGCAATAATGCAACTATGGAAAAATTAATTAAAAAAAAATTCTTGTTGTTTTTAACAATCACCTACATGCAAATATTTCTCATGGGCCCCAGTACCTACATGAATATTTACAAGAGGTTTTACTGTACCAATATTGAATAAAAAATAGTGAAATTGCTACATATTCTTCATTCGCAATAATGCAATTATGGAAAAATTAATTAAAAAAAAAATCTTATTGTTTTTAACAATCACTTGTACCTCTTGTAAATATTCATGGAGGTACTGGGGCTCATTAGGAGGATTTCCATTTAGGTGATTGTTGAAAACAATTAGATTTTATTTTTTTTATAAATTTTTCCATAATCGCATTATAGTGAAAGGAGAATATGTCGCAATTCCACTAATTTTTATTCAATATATAATCTTTACCGCATATCAACGTCTATATTTAGACCTAATTTAGACGATTAAAATCATTCCATATTTTAATAAATATGTATTCAAAAATTAACTGCACGTAGCAGAACTGAACTCCAAATTTTGGTGTAAAATGATTTAAATAGTCATTCCTCACTATAAGGTACATGTCTAGATCTAGACGTGTAATATACCTATTTTCAACGTCTGTGTTTAGACCATGTTTTTAAAAATATCAATTCATCTTAGAAAAACAAACCATAATATATTAAAATAAGATTAAATAGGCAGCTCTGTCTATATGCAGTGCCTAGGTAGAGCTGTGGGTGGCAGCTCACTGCTTCCGTGTACTGCGCATGTGCATGTACTTTGTGTACAAGCATAAATATATAGAAAGACTAGATAGTTAACCTACGCTGAGAGCCAATGGGGACTGGTGTCGTCACACGGCGGCCATCTTACCTAGGGGCTGCTGGCCCACTGATAACTGATATTAATGTCTATGGTGCTTGTACTGTTTCAATGACCATATCCTGCTCAAATTTCAACTGATTTTCAAACAGATTGGTTTGTTATAAACGGCAGAGATGTAGTTATGTTTCTGCATATTTATGGATAATAATAACCATGGACTTTCATATTAAATTAAAAAAGAAGATAGTGGAGCACTACCTGCCATAGCTGCACACATACACACACAGTGAAATTAAATTGTTAGTGTTTTTAATATTAAACATTTAATAGTTAGATATTTTATGGTCCTATTTAATACATATATTAAATATAAAGGGGTAAGTTGACCCATATGATATTTTAAACTTAATCTTAAAACTTTAACAAATAATGTATTTACTGATGAAAAATAATTTTATAAGACATTTCCCTTTTTCAAATAGTCTTAATTATTTTTGGGGGGTTATTAAACAATATGAAACCAATTAAAGTTTGTTTTTCAGAACCTTTTAATATTCGCAATTATTAATGTAATATTGAAAATTTCTCTTGAATGTGTATTTATCAAAAATAAAAGATCATTCTGCTAATTTGAGTAGCAAAGACCTAATAAAAATTCTATAAATTGTGATTCATATTGGTTCAATTTACCCCAAGGCTTTTGGTTCATCTAGCCCCATGGCCATCGTTTTGATAAAACCTAATTAATTTAATGCTTCAGAATGATATTTTGCTTAATGACTCACATAGTTCTATACATTGAATATCACTAACATGCATGATGTAGTTGAAGTTGAGACCTGGGTCCATTTGCTTTAACATAAAAATAATTATACCACAAATGTAAAAAATTCCACGGCCTGTTGGAAATGTTTGTGTTCTTATTTTAGGGTCACATAACAACTCATGTGTATGGTTTTAAGATCAAGGGGATGGTTCGTTCATCTTACCCGTTCTGTTACATATATTTTAATATAAAAATTAAAATAAACACATTCAGTAACATGAAATAAAGGTTCTTTTATTAAACAGATGTGAACAATTACAAAACAATTCAACATTCACTCCAAACCAACAGTCACACTAAACCATGCAACATTCACTCCAAATCGACAGTCACTCACACGGTCGCAACAAAACCAACATATATACAAGTGCACGGACAGTTTGAGCTACTGCCCCTTGAAAAGGACTGTTTTGGTGAGCTTCTGTCTCACATTGTCTTTCCGTACGCTAAGCGTAGTCATTTTAGCAATGTGGTGCAGCCTTAATTTGAAAAACAGGGACACAACTAGAGCTGAATTATGATATTGTTGGGGTAATTCATATAGCCTATGCTTGAAATGGTTGACATGTTAAAAAAATGTGAAAAGGAAATATTCAATGATTATTATGTAAACAAATGGTTGAAACATTTCTAAAACGTCAGGGTGAAAATAACTTGTATTGTACAAGTACAAATTTAACTAAGTTAGTAACAATTATCCTAAATTTGTCCCTCAAGTCATTTCTTACGAGTGAAAGGTGATTCCACGGGCTCTTGTTTGAACAGAACATTCATTTGAGCATCCATGTGCTGCACAAAAGTCTGGCATCTTGGACTGCAGGGGGTATTTCTGTAAACACAAAGCCAGGCATTTACTGTATCACAATGAATCTAAATTAAGGATATATTTTACTAATGAACATATTATGTATGTTAAAACAGAGGAGTAATTCTGCCTTTCCCACCTGTAAAGAATTATGTCTAGGCTACTTTGTAATAGTCCCAGTGGACCACTATGTCACATTCACAACCTCTTGTTTCTTTGCTAGCTAATAAACCATAGACTGTATAGAATGGCCTCCTCGCTGGGTGAAGCCACTCCGAGAACAGCACCCTCTGTTGATGGGCTGCAGTAAAGGTCATAAATCCCGCCTCTGCCAGCAAAGCTTATGGTGCTGTGGACAAACTTTAGAAATTTATTACACAGAACTTTTACTACACTGAATTTTTTCTCCCCCCTGCTTGTGATGTTGACATGTAGTTATTGTAAGACTGGTTTGTGCTCAAGTCCTTTTTTTCTGTGAAGCTATTAGGGGGTTCATATTTGCTATGATTGACACCTGATACAGCCTATGGGCGTTCAGGGATTGCGTAGCTCTCCCGGGGGATACGTTGTTTGAGCCGAGCGTCATCACAGCGACTCTCTGCGACTGCGCGGCTGAATGCGTGCATTGCTACTGCGCAGCGCTGGTTTCAGGAAATGAAGAAAAATCCCAGAAATGCCGAGAGCTTTTTGGCTTCAAATCCGTATACAGGCGGTAGGCGGAACCAAGTTGTCCATGGTATGTACAGTCTATGTAATAAGCACAACTACATCCACACAAATCGTCATTTAGACAAAATTTGTGGTTGTCACAATTTCTTATTGGTCTCACGGAAACGTACTGTATATAATAACTGAAACTCCCAGATTGCAGCCTTGCAAATGGCTGTGACAGACACACAACTATGCAACAAAATGAAATCGATTTTTGAAAAGAAAAGCTACACTTTCAACATGTCCACACGGCCGGAATCATAGCCACGTTAATAAGGTTTTTAATAAACCAAAACGTTTTTAAATTCGTCAAGATTTCAGCGAGTTCAGTGTATTTTTGTTTGTGTAGGTCGCTCACCTTCCATCCACTACTGTTGAGTGCGCGGAAGGAGTCCTCCTAAGTAAGATGGCCGCTAGGTGACGACACGGGCAAAAGTCCCATCATCCATCTAGTCTTTCTATATATCTATGGAGCCAAGCACTTCATCACCATCACTGCGCATGTGCATGGACATAGTACTGCAACTTGAGAGCAAGCCAGGCGATACCGAGACTCAAATTCATCGTCAGTTTTTCAACGTAAAAACAGGTGAGTGCTTAAGAACAGGTTGCTGGAAATGTTTAATTTAAAATGTTTGAAATTCATGGTCCTTTCATGCATCAGTTTAGCAGCTTGTTCGTTAGGATGAGGCCTAGCTTGTTGCTACTAGCATGGGACTAACAGCAGTCAGTGCTAGTCGGCGTTCCGTGTTTTTTTTAACTAAATGGGAGGAAATGTACGTTTTTCCCTTCTCCTCGCACAATTGAAGATAACAAAATGCTATACTGGAAAGAAAAATAGGCCTAAATTCGACGTTGCTTCAATGCTGTTTCACAACAAGCAGTTTCCTGGTCGTATTCAGGCCTTTTCCAGCCAGTTAGCCAGTATAGCATTTTTTATCGTTGTTGTTGGACAGTTTGCAAACTGACTGGGTTTTTTTTTACCAAGCACATGACGACATTATTTTTGAGAAAATGTGTCTTATACTTGACTGTTAGGGCTGTATTCATGTTCTTTCAAACGTTTTGATGGAGCCATGGTTATGTGCTTCTATTAAAGATTTTTCCCAAACCTTTTTCATATTAGATTTTAGTAATGAAGCGTATTTTGATGCTGGGTGGTGGGCTTCATGGGAAGAGGACATTCAAGTCCACCACCTTCTGTTCAATCGTTTCTGGTAAAAATATGAGCTCATAGAACTAGGTCTTTGTTAATTGCGCCTATAAATGTGTGATGTGATGTACAAATTGTGTATATGGCTTCTGGCCCATTTCCTTTCCCCTTCCACAATTGCAGAAGCTGTCCGGAAGACGTTTGCAGGTGCAACGGAGGCCGAGGTCCACACAGCGATGGGAGAACATTTCAAGCACCCCTCCACCTCGAATTGGTGGAGGGGGGTTCCAGAGGCCGAAGAAATCAGCTGACTAATTTTTCATCTCAGACTTGGCTCCTGACTGTATCAGTCAGTTCAATCTCTGCCTTATGTGATTTTACATTTTCCAAGGCATTGCTGGTCATTTTTCTGTGATTATATATTTCAAGAACTACACTATAACCACTCTATCCTGACTGTATTAGTCAGTTCAATCTCATGCTCCCTCTGTGCACTCTGATTCCTAAGACGCAGGGTTTGTGAAAGTTTTTAAAAACTTGTTGGGTCAAACGTTTACAAATCTTTTTGCACTGTTTAATTGTAAGGGAATGTTACAGACATATACCTATGGCCAGATGTTTGTTGTTAAATTTGAAATTTTGTATTGTAAGATTTTTATTTATGGTAATGGCAGAGTCGGATATTAGAAACATATTGTTAACAATTTAATATTTTTTATTCTATTATGCTTATTATTGATGCTCTTAAATAATGCTGAGAGAGAACCAACATGCTAATTAACTGTCAAATCAGCCTGAAAGACATTAACACATCCATCAAGGTAAGGATAACAAGGAAAGTTTGGTCTGTAAGATGGGTCCAAATATCATTTTGGGGCTTTTAAAGGTTGATGGAGAGTATTTTAATACTTAATCAGTATAAATAAGTATTAAAATACTTACAATTTTATTATAGTTTTAAATAGTCATCTAATAAACGTCTATAGTCTATAACCTGGTATAAATTTGGTCTAATCATGAATTAGCGGTTGTTTCTACATCAAAATATAGATATATGTCTATAGACGTTGTTCATACGTCTAATAGACATCTAGTCTAAATATAGTCATCTAAAAAACTCATTCCTGCACCATTTTTAGACGCAGCAACTAGGTGGCATATAGACGTCCATTAGACGTCTATATGCTTCTTCAAGTCAGTCGTGACGTCTATTAGACCTAAAAATGCTCGGTGGAGACTTTAATCTCGAAGTCTTTAAAAACATTCTCAATACAGCCCTCATACTCCATACAAAACATGCAATCACTGGATGAATTTTGTGGAAATTATCTGTGCTTGTATGTATCTATTGTTTTGTTTCAGGTAGTCGGATTTAGTCGCCGGATCCTTTTTTTTTTTTTTTCGCTCCGTTCATTCCATAAGAATCGAATTAAATTTATTATTGAGCTAAAAATCAAAATAAAACGTTTATGTATTAATTATGACTACTGTTTTGTTCTGATTTAATTCTGAAGTTTACAGTAATATGTATATATAGACTAATGTCCTCATATTCTGATAATTTGTCAGAATAGGTATAAATGTATGTAGAAGTTATCATCTTACTCAAATTCTTATGTAAGAGTTTGCTACAAGTATGGACTGTTTTAACCTCTCATTACACATCATATAAGAGTGTTTTCTAACTTCTCTCTCCAATAGCTTTATTACACAGCACATGAATGTTTCTTAACTTCTCTGTGACCTTGTTTCTCCACTCCTATTAGGACCTCGTTTAATGTCAACAATGTTGCCCTGACCCTCACATATTTTCTGTTGTTCATAATTATGTTTTATGAGAGTGCTTATGTTGCTGCACATATTCTCCCCCCCCCGCCCCCCATCCTTTAGTAACATTGTGTAACCAGGGACATAATTTATGAAATGGTGTGCTTCCTGGTGAACCTCTTCAGGATTGCTTGACTGTGCAAAATCCAAGTATACAATAGTTGTAGAGACACAAGTCACATGATCTCTTTAAGGTTCAGAAGAGCCATATAGCAAAAACAATTGAATAGCAATATCATTACAGACTGTGTAAAGAAATGGGAAATTGTCATACAACTGCTTCGAAGATTTCTTTAATGTTTTCCAAAAAAAATTGTGAACAGTAAAAAAAAATATAATATATACATAATTCAGAGCATTGCCGTCGGTGTGGTGGGGGGCTTAAAATATGTTGCCACGGGCCATCATCTGCTCTGCTCTGAACCGGGTGATGCCATGCTCCTGAAGTGCTTTGATCAAAAGCTGAAAAACAGTCAAATAATGTGAACAATTGAAGTTATGCAGTATGGGTTAATTGTTGTTCTTGAGCTTTCCAAATGAATAAGAACAACCTCTTAACAATATCATCAATTTTCAAAGCAAGCTATATAGTTTGATCTACTCACCTCTGGGAGCATGACATCAAAAACAAAATCAAGCAGGTGAATCTCGCCTCTCTTGATTTTTTCAGAAATGGTTGTTGCCTCCTCAATGAACCGCAGGAGCTCGAACATCTATTGAAGAAAAACACAGAAAGTAAACAGCTTTCAAATGTAACACCCCTGAGAGTAAAAATACTCATGATGGATGGCATTTTTACTTACGCGCTGCTCACTCCAACTTAGTGTCCTTATCTTAAGATGCTGCTTTAGTCGGAGTGAGGTGGCGGGATTCCTCCAAAGGAACATTCTGTTGGAGCGGATCTTTCCAGACAGTAGATCATCGTGTAATGTCTGAAACCAAAGAGCAAGAGACAAAAATGTAATCATCTGAAAAAGAAACGGTGGCTTTAACAACTGATAGTGCATTCAAAAGCAACCTTGATCTGTGTCTTAGAAAAGACAGCATCAATTCCTCCACTGTCAACAGCATCCTTGATCCTGCAGAGAAATAAGAAAAAGAGCAAGCCCTCATTTTTTCATCCTTTGAGCCTCGTATTTTTGACTGATACTATGTTTCCTTGATAAATTATGTTATACCGAGGATGCTCAATGGAGTCCTCGCACCCGCAGTCAAACGGCTCCATTTCAATCCCAGCACAATCCTGATGCAGCCAGCCCCTGCACGTCTTGCACTGGATCCCTTTTATGACGTTTACCTCAGGGTAAAGCAATCTGATCAAATGAGAGACAAACATAATATTAAACAAACACGCTGTCCAATTGATTATACCTCTACAGCACATTTGAATGTATAAATAATTTTCCCGCATGATTCGTGCATTTCAACTATATGTAAAAGTGGTCACTTCATGGAAAATCACTGAATAGGCCCCGATAATTGCATTTATTAAATTGAGTCTGCAACACACCTCTCTCCTGTGTTGTTTGATGTCTGGTAGACACAGAATTGCATCAACTCTGCCATGCACATTCTTCGGACATCCGATGCCGTCTGCGTCATGGTTTCCTTGACAAGTCAATTTGAAAAGTAACATCAATTACCAAATACATCGAGACAATGTTGATCCATACAACTGTGTGCATTTTGAAGGACTCCCACTGAGATACTACTGTTTTTAGAAGGCAATTTTCTAACCTCTATGTCCTGCTGCTCGGCCTTCCTCTTTAGTCTGAAGACCGAAGTATGCTTTCCAGCAATGAGCTCTTTACATTCTTTGGTCCAGTGGGCGAAGATTTTCCCACAACTGTAATGACAATATATCTTTAAGTACAATATATTGATTGTCTTCCAGTTAATTAGGGCATCTAGTTTATTTAAACTGTCTACCTGTTCAAAGAATTGTTCTCCAGGAGCAACAGGCACCACCATCGCCGCAAAACAGGCATGTCATGCAGAAATTGTTGTTTGTATTTCATTTTAGTGCACAATACAAAATACAACCTTGAGGATGACACTGCGTGTTGAAAAGTACTTACAACTGAGTAGTCAAACTGTGACTCCAGAACGATGTACATGGCAGACTTAAAAAAAAAAAAAAACTAGGGCCCCGTTGGGGCACTGGCGGGCCCGAGCCGTGTCGCGTCGCCCCCAGCGCGGGCCTCCCTCTCCCGATTGCGTCACACTCAAGGTCCAAAGATGGTGTGCACACCTGTCTTTGGTCATTTCCCATTATAATGAATGGGAGGCGCAGTTTCTACCAAAACGCTCGCTGCAGACAAACTACATGTCCTATTTGAAAAAAGTCAGGACCATGAGTGAGGGCACAAAGACAGCTAGGATATATCCAAATGGCAAGTGACAAAGCATATAGGCGTGACACTCAACAATGTGTATTTTCAGCTTAGGGGACAAGAAAAAATGGACTTTTTTCTCCTGCCATGGGGGGGCGCTCTTTTGGGGAGTAAAAATTCCTTCACAAATGTGTTGATGGCTGGACATTGCATCATCCTAGAAAACTTGGAGGCCAGTGAGGACTAAAATAAAAAGTTATAAGACTTTTAAGAATGTGGATTTTTGGATCATCTTTGGCGCCCCCTTGAACGTAAACCGTGGGGTGCAGCGTCATGATTTTGACAACTTTGAATGGCCATGGGGTGTAGATTGGCCTGAGCAAATTTGGTGTCGGTAGAACGGAAGCCTTCGGAGGAGTTAGCCACATTCCAATGTATGCGAATCGGCCAAAAATGCGAAACAGCCCTTTAACTGTACATTTTACAGATACGTGCGCATTGACTTTTTCATAGATCTTATTGAGCTACACGTGTGTGTCAAATTTTGTGTCAATATGACAAATTGTACAGGCGTGACAGTCAATAGTGTGAATTTTCAGCTTAGGGGACAAGAAAAAATGGACTTTTTTCTCCTGCCATGGGGGGGCGCTCTTTTGGGGAGTAAAAATTCCTTCACAAATGTGTTGATGGCTGGACATTGCATCATCCTAGAAAACTTGGAGGCCAGTGAGGACAAAAATAAAAAGTTATAAGACTTTTAAGAATGTGGATTTTTGGATCATCTTTGGCGCCCCCTAGAACCTAAACCGTGGGGTGCAGCGTCATGATTTGTACAACTTTTAATGGCCATTGGGGTTTAGATTGGCCTGAGCAAATTTGGTGTCGGTAGAACGAAAGCCTTCGGAGGAGTTAGCGAAATTCCAATGTGTGCGGATCGGCAAAAAATGCGAAATAGCCCTTTAACCGTACATTTGACAGTTACGCCCGCACTGACTTTTTTGTAGATCTTATTGAGATACACGTGTGTGTCAAATTTTGTGTCATTTTGACAATGCGTACAGGCGTCAGGTGAATTTTCACCTTAGGGGGCGCTATGGAGCCATTTTGCATTTTATTGTTTGGGCGACTTCAGAATATCAAATTTTTCACCAGGCCCGGTCTTCCTGCCAAATTTCATGCGTGCTCGCCAATGGGAAGTGAGTTTTTTTCCCCTTTAAAGCGGAGGAAAAATTTAGAAAGAAGAACCCATCAGGAAGAAGAGGGCTCGGGCCCTAATTATGAGACAACATGTGAGATAACTTTAAAAAAGTCCATGTTGGAAAGTTATTCTAGATACAATATTTGTGCATTACAGCTCGTTATGACCTACCATCAACATGAAGATTCCACAGTCTGAGCCAAAGTCCTGGCTGGGGAAGCCCTGATTTAACAAAAGCAAACGTTAATCATCTTGTCACATAAACTTTTCAACTGCAATATGAGACCATGCCATACTCGTCAAATGGTGATTAAAATAATATTTTCCTTACCGTTGTTTCGCTCTACAAATGCGCATTGTAAGGTGTGTGCTCCTGTAACGACGTCGATTGAGTTCTTCTTCTTCTGTAAATTTTGCGGTCAGAAAGTGTAGGTGCATACCGCCACCTACTGTTCTGGCATCTCAAAGCGGAAGTTCATGTTTTGGGTCCGCCAATCGGAGGTAATTCATTACCTCATTGCGCCAATCGGAGGTAATGCGGAAATTCATTGCGTTTGTTCATTGCGTTTGTTCATCTTTTGGGTCCGCCATCTTGCGCTGCAGTTGGGTACTCTTGGACTGCAGTGAGCGCGCATTTAAGAGGTAAATATTAAAATTAACCGTAAAAAGTCAACATTTGCAACTCCTATTGGATTACTATGTACACGTCAAAGTCACGTATGTATATTTAGTGGCTGGATGACAAAGAAAAGTGAAATAAGACAAGTTTGGTAACGCGTGTTACTTTTTAATAAGAGAAAATAATACAATAAAGTGGTAAGTAACAGGTGTTACAAGCTGTTTAAACAATTGTGCAATGTTTAGGTCTTGCAGCATGGCCTGCATAACATTTTTCCATGTTAAACATACGCCTTAAATGCTGACAGGATTTAAAAAGTAGCGGCCCCTTAACTCTATCGTCCCATAAGCAGAAATCAAATTACATAGCACTTATGTTAGTCTAAAAAGAATAAATTGCATATAACATCGGGAACTGATAAAGGCTGAAATCTAAAAAAAAGCCCAAAAGTAACCATCTCAACATATGATTGATGATGATGATTTATCTGTGATTCATAACACAGTCACACAATAAATTTTGGCAGGCCTCTACAGCTGACGACGTCCAGCTAGCAGGCCGTGGCTAAAAAATCGATCCCAATTCCTTACTAAAAAAACGTAATTACATTTGTAATTACAATTTGAGCATACTAGAATTAAAATCATTTTACATATAAAGGGGTCCCTCGATACCATTTACACACGTATTGGCATTACATTCGTTGATACAATATTTTACCTCGGGGAGTGTGGGAGCAAACCGTGGCTAAAAAATCAATCCCAATTCCTGACTAAAAAAACGTAATTACATTTGGGATATACATTTTTACATATAAAGGGGTCCCCTCGATATCAATAACACATGTTTTGGCATTAAACTTGTTGATATTTTATCATTTAACCTCGGTGAGCGCTTGCCTTGTGGCCATAGAAGCGAACGGCGTCCGACGTGACAGGCGGTCATGTTGGAACTATTAAGAGTTCCATAACCCGGAAGTGGGGTCCGCCGGGCTGTACAGCGTATGTCTATGGGAGTGTCGCCACTCTATTTTAATCCACTGCTCTGGGTTGACCATCCCAATTCACAAAAACCAGACCATCTCACCCAGGGTACTCAAGTCCACATAACGGCAGTGCGCTCAGCTAAGCACACTTTTTTTTTTTCTTTGACCTGTTTGGTTGTTCCTCTATCAGAACTTTAACCTGTTTTATTTTTATTTGTTTTTAAACAATGAACAGAAAAGTCCTACAGGTAAAAAGTTATGTTTAGAGTTGAAAGTAAATCCAGTGGGGGAAAAACTTTGAAAAGTAAACAGATCTTATAAATCGACACTGAGACAGGCTGCTGGTATCTTGTGTTTTAAGCTCCACAGAAATCCCTAGAAAAGTATCTACATGAAGTGGGCCACCTGCTGGCTGCTAACTGACATTACAAACCCCACTGCACAGCTCGGTCTGCAGAGAAGGAGACAGTGATTGGATTATTTATTTCAAAGTTTAATTCAGTAAAAAATATCCTCTGCAATCACTTTTTAAACTTTGTGTTTCAACCATGTAAAGAAGATCCAGAAACACCAGAGACTTCTCTGGACCTGAGCCCATTTAAAGCTATGGTCTACTATCTGAAAACCAGTTTGGCTGTTGAGACAAATTTGAAAAACGCCCCTTACTCCTACCCTCCATGTTCCTCCATGTGTGACGCCACACACACACACACACACACACACACACACACAAACGCACACACACACACACACAGCTCGTGTCGCCTCCCAACAACACCCCCCCTCCAATAGAGCAAGAAGCTGGCTGGCAGAAAATATCAGCAGTGGTACACAGTGGTAGCCATTTCAATTGGACCGGCGCAATCAAAACCATATATTAGCAGGACGACGTGGGTCTGGCATCGCCACCGCTAGCCGGTCAGAGCAGAGCTGATTGTAGGCAAGGCTTTACCTTTCTCGGCGTGTCTTCACCACAGAATGTATATACTATGGACAACTTGGTTCCGCCTACCGACTGTATACGGATTTGAAGCCAAAAAGCTCTCGGTATTTCCGGGATTTTTCTTCATTTCCTGAAACCAGCGCTGCGCAGTAGCGATGCACGCATTCAGGCGCGAAGAGATTCGCTGTCATGACGCTCAGCTCAAGCAGCGTATCCCCTGGGACAGCTACGCATTCCCTGAACACCCATAGACTGTATCAAGTGTCAATCATAGAAAACATGAACCCCCTAATAACTTTTAAAAATGGAGCTTGACAATTGTCAAAAACAGTTTGCCCATGTTCCCGGATTTTGTTGCGGAACTAACCTCGGCATGAAACAAACCGCTGTCCACCTGCGCCACACTGCCCAGTTGTGGACAGTTTCTGGACCTGGATGGAGCTGACAAAGCTGGTTTGGTAAGCCCTCCGCCTATGGAGGCGTCCCTAGTTCGGGGCCCCAGCCGGTGAAGCGGCATGTACCCGGTCAGAAACCACG